GGATTACATTAAGCTGAAATGACTATACATTTTCCAGTTTAATATTTGTCCATCAGCTGTTTAATCGTATTTAGATAATTGTGTAAATAAGTTGTTATAGCCCTTGCCCTCTCCACTGATAGAGCCTGAAAGCTTTAAACATTGGTGAGCCACTATTTTGTAGATATTCATGTCCTTCCCTCCCCTACCTGGCCCCCAACCTCCTCCTTCCTATTTAAACAATTAACAAGGCCTTTAGTGATTTTTGGTCATGATTTCAAATTGAGGAAAATAAATTCATGTTAAAAAAAAAAAGAGTATGGAGGTCACTTGGATTATTAGGGAGCTACTGGATTCTGGTCCTGGCTGTTGAGTGTGTTAGAGGGTTTTATACTATGGAAGGCCAGTACTTAAGTTCTCTAAGGGAATCCTCACTTCCTTATCCTCTAGAATCAGCATCATGGGTCGCTTTAAGGTTATTTTAGGAGTACTTTTGGGGAAGGAGGGGTTAACTTCTCGTGACTGGAAGCTGAGCAATCACTGATAACAGATTTTGCTGTGGTTGGTTGATTTGGCAGAAAAGCATGAACAGTTTTAGTTTAGATGATTGAATAACCTGATTAGCATTGTTTGGGGGTGGTTTTTGTTGTTGTTAAAAGAACAACAAAATATTTTAAAATGATAATCCAATCACTCCCTCCCCCTACCCACCCACCCCAGTTGATGAACCTTCTTGTGGGTAATAATTCTCTATGATAACCTGGCTGTATCATTGGCTAGTGAAAATACCCAGTGAATATTAAAACTAAAATCAAAATCAACTGTTTTTCTTCTTTTTCTAAAAATATTGTATATGTATTACATTCTTTTCTCCCTTTCGGAAAATTCTGTCATACTTTTAAAAGTAAACATTTTGAAGGACTATACTGTCCCCAATTTTTTTTTCCTTCAAAATTTGGAGACATTCAATTTTTTTTAGAGTGGTTTTAGAATATTCTAGCTATATCTAAGTTAAGCTTCAGAAAAAAAAATTTTTTTTCTCCTTACCTTTACACAATTAGAAAGGTTATAAATAATGTATTTGGCTGAAAAGGGAAGCTCAGCCTGTGGCAGATGGTATCATTCTAGAGTACTGGGGTGTCTGTGAAGATGGCACCATTTCAGAGCAGATCTTCACCAGACTCTGAAAGAGAACTGCAGGCCCCTCGTAGGGAAGTGATGCATGCTTCGTGGATCTTAGGAAAGCTTACATGTCGGTGCCGAAAATGAGATTATTGGGCTTACCTGAAGAGTGTGGGGATATGTGGCCAATTTAGGCAGTCTATCAGTATTCTGTCTCAGAAAGTGCAAGCTATGGTCAGATCATGGGTCAGTATACTGAGGTGCATTTGAACTGGAGATTTAAGTAGCCTGAGACTTGTATTAGGGGATTCTGCTCTCCCCCTCCCCCCAGCACCTAAGGTTTACACAGAGTAGCCATTCAGTAAGGAAACTTGCTTTGCAAGTAGTGCCCTTTTCCAGATACCCTTGATTTAAATAGACAAAAAGAGAGAATTGGATCTACTTGGTCACAGAGTACTATAAATGCTTAGCCATCTCTGTATGGGCGATGCTCTGGAGAACTTGGGATAATGTTTCTTGCAAGTTAGGGAAGAAAAGTCCTTAAAACAGCTTAAGTTTGACTCTCTTGGCATCTCAAATGATTTTTTAAAGGATGATAGAGTTGGCGACTAAATTCACGTTAACTTTGAATTTAAAGACTTCTCTGATTGTCTCTTTGTAATGACTTCTGGTCTTCAGTTTCCATAAACATGGTAGCTTCTCACAATAAAAATACAAACACTCTGGAAGACTGAAAATGAGCTATTTCTTTGGTGATTTGCTGGACTAACAGGATATTAACACTTAAGATCATCCTAAATAATCAAAATTTGTAGCTAATATGCCTGAGCTAGAAGTTTTGCAGAATGGATGTTTTAAAGCCATTTTTGAAAGGTGAATTCCATTCTGTGAAAATGTTCTGAGGAACTCTGCCTTATCCAGATTCAGCTCTGTTGGGTTTTTTGTTGTTGTTAACACCTAACACTTTCACTGGATTTATTATCCCAAGCCTACCTCATACCCTGGATATTTATTATTTAAAAGATAATCTCTTGGCTGTTTGAAAATTTGATCTTACCATCAAAACATAATTTGGAATTTGCAGGCATCACAGTGAATCTTGTGGCAATAGATTATGACATCATAAACTCAAATTAGAACTTCATTGCAAAACATAAAAAAGGGATGAGAAAGTTCTCATATAAACAGAAAGTTATACCAATAAGTGTCATTATTCTAGTGAAAGTAGAATGAATTCTCAATGCCTTGCTCTGAAGAGAAGCAATAATATGGATAAACACAAAGGAAAAACTCAATCACATCAAGTAATTTTTAAAAATCTTTTAATTAGCTTTGCTATATTTTAATCTTTTGATTTGCCCTATTTAATGCTTTGCTTAGACTAATTTCAATATGCCTTTATATTGCCTGTGCATACCAATTGAAGGGGAGAAACAACTAGAAAGCTTTATTGGTAAAGTCAGTTTGATTAAAAATTTTCTGCAGATAATCTGCAAAGAAATAATCCATGTGTGGAAAAGAACTAAGTGTGTATGGGGTTACACTCCGAATTGACCTGATTTTTCACATTTTATGACCATAATAAGAGTGTACTCTGGTGCATATATATACACGTACACACACACATATATATATATACATACACACATATACACGCATGCACATGCATACGTGTATATAAACATACATGTACATATATGTGTGTACACATATGTGTATATATATACATTTTGTATATATATTTATGTATACATAGTATACTGTATATTTCAGGACCTAGAGCAAGATTTTAATCGATTAGGCATTTGGCATTAAAAAAAATACCTACTTCCAATATAGATAGACTGAAGCATAATTTTTAAAATCTAGAGCTTTACAATGAATGGTTAATATTCACACATGCCCTACTGCAGTAATGATATTGGTATTCAAGAACCTACTTGGATGTCTGGATGGGAACATATAGAATTAAAAAAAAAAGTTGGACTTGAGCAGAAGAATATTAGCTGTTATCCATTGGGAGAAATCCTCATTATCCATAAGATAGTCTCAATAGTTTTATTAGTGTCTGAGGATACTGGTCCATTATTCCAATGGAATAAGCTTCATTGATGCTGATGGATTGTTAACTGGATCAGGGAATTTTTGGGCTCCAGTTTTGGCAAATTCTATAAGACTCTTTTACAGTGGTGATTGTAGCAGGCTCTTAGTTAAATTGCACGCCATTGGATTTAATGACAGCATCATGAGCACTTTAAGAAGGAGAATTTTAGTGGAATAAAAATGGAGAAATGGATGTAAAAGCAGTGAGTAGCAGACACGAAGTTTGTCACAGGGTCCCTTTGCTAGGCTATTTCTGTTTTGCAAAAGTAACCTGACTATAACCCGTCTCTTTAGTCAAGCTCTTGTAAGAATATAAAAAACCATTTACATATTACTAGTCTGTATATACTGTAAAACTAACACTGATAATGAATTTTGGTGGAGTCAACAACCAGAATAGCACAACTTTAAATTAGAAATAGCTTTAAAACAGACAACGATAGAAAAATATTTTGTATCTTTGTCCCCAAACTGGCTTTTCTGGTTATTAACTGTCCATAGAACAATGCTTCTATTCTGTAAATTACATCACCATAGTCCAACTAAAGTTTGAATTGCAAGCTTTTATACACAAAGGGTTGGAGCAGGGAGGGGGAGAATAAGTAATTGGAAATCTAATTATTTTTAAGACTCAATGGGAAATTTCTTTAATGTACTCACTATTGACTGGTTATTATGTGTGGGGTGGGGAGAATTATTTAATTTTTTGAAAATGGGTCTTTTCATTGAAATTATAGTGATAAGGTTTCATTTTATTTGTTTAAGAAACTCCCCATTTTCAAAGTGGGAAAAAATAATAAACTTTTCATTGACTTTTCTTCCCTTTCATGTTTTAGAAACTAGACTATTTTTGCTTTCAGATAATTGATTAGAAAGAAAAGGAATATACTTAAAGTAGTACATTTATTCTTAATTTCAAATGTTTGTTAAGAGAGTTTTTATGGTCAATCTAAAATCTAGAATCATGCTTTCTTTTAATTGAATTAAATCTAACAATAAAAAAAATTTCTCCTTCATACAGTGGTTTCCTGTGATTATTTTAAGTGCCTTGTTATATGTAGTCATTCTGACTTTTTATAGTAACAGTATATTCACTCACCCCTTCAGCCCACCTCCCCCCTTCTTAGTAGGGCAGAGTGTAGGACAGGGAAACAGACCTATGATTTCTTTGATAGAGGAAACTCTCATGTGAGAAAACTCCTTCCACCAAAGCAGGTCAGTGCCTTCTATGCCACTTACAGTCTTAGAGAATTACCCAGAGCACTGAGAGGTTAAGTTACTTGCCCATGGTCACACAGCCAGTATGTGTCAGAGATTAGACTTGAACCTAGATATTACTATTTTGAGGTAGGTTCCCTATCTACTACACCATCCTGCCTCTCCTAGTGGAACTGATTTCTGGAAGATGAAGATAATAGTTCTATGCAATGCAGTCATAAGTTCTTGAGGTAGTAAGTATATTGTGGCTTTGCAGGCATAAGAAGTATCTGTAGTAATTTGGGCTCAATAGAAGTCTTTGAGTGAGAGAATCCAGAGATGCTATGTTGAAGTTAACAAGTCCACTGTTTGATAGCTTTATCCTTGTCTCTGTGGATTGTTTCTTTCCATTCCATTTAAAACAAATGTTTGATTTTCTGCTTAATGAATTTTAAGTTGAAGCTCTAGGCTAAAGGGTAAAAAAAATTGTTATGGTACTCAGATGATAAAAAAAAATATGGTTTTAACAATTGAAATAATTTCTGTGTTCCAACTTGTGCTGCTATATATTACAAATGTTTTCCCCCCTTTTCATGCAGAGTATGATTTCATCCATTGTGAACAGCACTTACTATGCAAATGTATCAGCAGCAAAATGTCAAGAATTTGGAAGGTGGTATAAACATTTCAAGAAGACAAAAGATATGCTGGGTAAGCAGGAAGCGTTGTAAGGGGGCCACATACCATTACATGTCATTGGGGGTGAAGGGGGGGCTAGCACAATCATATCGAAAGCCAGCTATTTTGATTGCCCAATTAGAGATCAATTTAGTATGTTTCTTTTTTTGGGGGTATGAGTATAATGAGATAATTAAATTCAATAAATGTTTGTGTTTAAATCAGCCAAACTGACTTGGTTGTCAGACATGCAGGAAATCATGGAATGAGGAGGGAAGCTGTCATTTTGTAACATCTCTATAAAGACCTAACAAGGTCTTGAATAACTAATATTAGATATGATCTCTCCAGGATGAAGTGGATTTTTTTTTGGTGGAAAATTGTGTGATTTTTACAATCAATTTGAAAGAAATAATTCATGTTTTTATGGAGCGCGTATCGCAAGGGTTATTTAAACACTTTGGCAAGTAGATAATTTTGTAATTGACTTCACCCCAACAATCTTCAGGAATGAATCACTGTACTGACCAATGACTTCCCACCTCACTGACTCCTCAGTCACATACCCTTCCCAATACATGATTTTAGCTCACAATATCAACATTTGTTATGGAGAAAACGAATAAAAAAGGATTATAAAGGATATAGAAGAATAAATAAGGGTTTCAAGCATGACAGGGTTAAGATATGTATTTGTTTTACCTAAGTATTTACCTTCTATTAGTGTCTTCCATTGACAGTAATAATTCATATTTATCTAATGCTCTAAGAGATTATAATTATTAGTAAGAATTTAGTAAGCAATTATTACATGCCAGGCACTGTGCTAAGTGCTGAGGATACAAAGGCAAAAACAGTCCCTGCCCTCAGTAAGCTCAAATTCCAATGGGAGAAGCAATGTGTCATTAACTAAGGACATACATGATACATAGAATAGATGGAATTCTTTCCTCATTTAAAAAAATCTGTAAGGTTAGTAGTATATTATTACTTCCATTTTATAGATGAGAAAACTAAGGCTTAGAATTCTTTGATGAGACTCCAAGGCAGGATGTGAAACCAAGTCTTCTAACTCCATGTTCTGAGCTCTTTCTAGAGTACCAGTCAGTCTCTCCAACTTATGAAGAAGTTGTTAGTGTTCACAAAATCAAACAGTATTTTGAGATGGTGTTTTTATTCCTATTAAGGATTTCCTCTTTCACATAATTTTATATTCTCTTTTAAAAATTATGTTAATGTTAAGTATGTGATATTAACCTAACTTTGGATATCATATCGTGTTTGAAACCTATTTCCAGAGAGCTTCTGCAAATTTAATTCTATTAACAAAAATAATTATTTATATCTTTCAAAGGTTTTAGGAAGCAGGAGAATCTGAATTTTGAGCATGTTTTAGCTAGTTGGAGAAAAACCATCCATCTACCAAAACAGATTCCTCGCCTTTTATAGCTTAAGGCTGTAATGAAGACAATGCATCACTTTTGTGATAATTGCTTGAATTACTATTCTATGTGAATGGCCCACTTGGGCTGATCTCTACATTTGGTTGTAGAAATAGAAGGTTTCTCTCCCCCATCCTTGGTTATAGTTTGCATATGCCAGTTAACTTCAGCAGTGTGATAAGTTCTTCCAAATGTAAAGTTTGAATATTTAGTGATAATGAGAAATGATGATTAAGGCTTAGCTGGTATCTACACAAGGGAAGCATAGTGTGGTATTTGGGGGAAAATGCCTATTTACGGCTCCATGTTTAGCTTTTACACTGAGGAAAATAAAAGCAACATCTTCCCTATGGCAGAATGTTTGAAGCACGTATAGCCATCGGCTCCTATGGGATACCTGGCTAGTGTAGAAGCTCGTGGCAGAGCTGGGAGGGGGGTTAATGGCACCAGCATCCCCAACTGCACTAAAATGACCATTTCTTTTTGGCAAAAATGATTTTAAGAGTGAATGAAAAAGTTTCACCCATTAGCTTCTTGTAGAAATCATTCTTAGGAAAAACAAAACTTTTTAATGGGGACAGATAATCAGTTCTGTGACCCAATTCCATGGAGACTCGAAGCAAGAATATATTGTAGAATCATAAGTGCATAGACTTTAAAGCTGGGTGAGGGTTTAAAGGTCACTTATTTCAACCTACGTATTATACTGGTATGGAAACTGAGACCCAGAGAGGGAGAGTGATTTGCTTGTGGTCACATGGGTTGATTAGATAATTGGTTGTTGTGCTTCATTCTCAAAGAGGACCAAAATGACATCACTGTGTTGGGATCGAGTATGTCACACTGTGACTTGATCAGACTAATATGAGCTCAGAAGGCTCTACCCAGGTCAGGCACAAGTGGTCCATAAGAACATTTGGAGTGGAGATGGTTCTAAATTTGCATATCACATGGGTCATAAATAGAAGAGGTGGGATTTGAACTCATGTCTTCTGGCTTCAAATTCAAGGCAAGTCAACAAGCATTTAATTAAACACCTGCTGTATTCCAGGCACTGTGCTAAGATCTTGGGATATAAAGAAAGGGGGGGAAATGTTTTTTCTCCCCAGGAGTTCACAGTGTGAGCTTTCACCAGTGAGCTCACATAGGGGAGACAACATGCAAATAACCATGTACAAACAAGATCTACGTAGGGTAAATTCAATATACTCTCAGAAGGAAGGCAGTAAGATTAAGGAGGACTGTTTCTGACAGCCAGTGGGACTTTAGCTGAGACTTGAAGGAAAAGAGAGAAGCTAGGAGAAACAGTGGTCTCATTTCTCTTTTCCTAATATGATAATATACATATATGTTATGACATACATATATATACACACGTATGTATACACATATATTATTCTTTCTTTGTATCCCCAGTATTTACCCAGTGCTTGGCACATAGTAGAAACTTTAAAATACTTATTCAACGACTGATTATAGCTATAAATTCTAATTTCGTCTCACCTAAATTTATCATCCCCATTCCTAAACAAATGACTGTCTTTTATAAGTCACTTGTCTAAATAACTTTATTACTATAAAGTGATAAATTTAAGAGTCTGAAGCCAAAATATGTCACGAAGCATTTTAAAAAATAACAACAAACTTTGTTCTTCATCTTTTACTGTGGTGGGTACATGTGTTACATGGGATGACTTGGTGGGGTTGTTCCCAATTTTACCCGGTTTTGGTTGCTGGAGAATCTGCTGTCTTTCTGTTTTGGAAACCATCATGATTATTTACAGTCTACCTTGGATAGTGTTTGTAAAGCATTTTGCAAACTTTAAAGCTCTGTATAAATGTGACCTGTTATTATTATAATTATTTTCAAAGAAATGGTCCTTTTTTTTTTTGTTTTTGGTCCACTGTAGTTGAGATGGATAGCCTTTCTGAGCTATCCCAGCAAGGTGCCAACCATGTCAACTTTGGCCAGCAGCCAGTTCCAGGGAACACCGCTGAGCAGCCTCCATCCCCTGTGCAGCTTTCTCACGGCAGCCAGCCATCGGTCCGGACCCCTCTTCCAAACCTGCATCCTGGACTTGTATCCACCCCTATTAGTCCTCAGTTGGTAAATCAACAGCTGGTCATGGCTCAGTTGCTGAACCAGCAGTATGCAGTGAATAGACTCTTAGCCCAGCAGTCCTTAAATCAGCAGTACTTGAACCACCCTCCCCCTGTCAGTAGATCTATGAACAAGCCGTTGGAGCAACAGGTCTCAACCAACACAGAGGTGTCTTCCGAAATCTACCAGTGGGTGCGAGATGAACTGAAAAGAGCAGGAATCTCCCAGGCAGTATTTGCACGTGTGGCTTTTAACAGAACTCAGGTCAGTCTGGTTGAATTTTGAAAGAGATTTTCTTAGTTGTGCATGCCATGTGTCCCTTCTCTCCCGTTCTTGGTGGTTTTCTCCTTTTGCACCATCTCTACCAGTGTGCTTTCTGTCAGTGTCCAACCTGAAAAACGAAGTTTAGTTTAACGTGACCTGCCATCAATGGCTATTCCTAACCATGCTTTAGGAACGCTACTATGTCTTCCCTTTCAGTTTCTAATTCACATTGACTTCTTCAGTGGCAGTAGGAGACCAGAAAAACAACTATGAATAGGGTAACATTCAGGGCGCATTCATGAATAAGTTGCTACCAAAGATGCAGGTATTGAAAGTTAGTGTTAGATATGTCTTGATGTCATCCCATGAATCATAGAAGGCAGTTGAGTGGTCCAGTGGATAGAGCTCCAGGCCTGGAGTCAGGAAGACCTGAGTCCAAAGCCAGCCTCAGATGCTTACTAGTTGTGTGACCCTGGGCCAGTCACTTACCCCCTATCTGCCTCAGTTTTCTCATCTGTAAAATGAGCTGGAAAAGGAAATGGCAAACCACTCCAGTAGCTTTGCCAAGAAAATCCTAAATAGGATCACAAAGAGTCAGACGAGACTGAAATGACTGAACAGCATTATGAATCATGGAATATTTTAAAAGTAAGGAACTTTCAAGCAATTGGGAACAACTTGGTTATCTTATAGGTGAGGAAATTGAAATCAAAAGAGATTGTGATATGACCAAAGTCACATGCCTAGTCATTGGCTTAGCTGATTTCTAGAAACTGTTTGTTAGATCAGTGCTGTTTCCCCTGTGTAACCAAGATCAAGTCACTTTCCTGTTGTGCCTCAGTTTTCTCATCTGTAAGTGGGTTTAATAATTACTCTGCCTGTCTCAAGGAATAGTTATAAGGAAGATGCTTTGGAAATCTCAAAATACTATATAAATGTGAGTTATTTTGCATCTATACAAGGCGAACATGAGAAAAAAATAAATGTGATATGCTAGGTATTTTATTTCAAATTTGTTCTGTAACATTTTTTTTTCAAACTAGGGGTCCTGGGGAAGTATTAAGGGGATTATGGAGACCAGCTATGATCAGCTGTTAAGTGATGGCAGCAGTATGGCTCATTAGCATAATAAATTAGCATAATATAGTCACTCCCCTGAACAGGGTGACTCATAGTTGTGTTCTTTTTTAAAACTAGCTATAGTATCTGCCCCCCTCCCCCCCATACCCACTCACCCACAGTTGCCTGGGACCCCACTGTTACCTGTTCTCCATGCAGCTTTTGCTGTTAGAATCTTTTCTTTCTTTGGCAAATCCAGAATAGACATTCTGTCAACAAACTTGACCACTTCTATTTTAGCGAGGGAGAAATGATATATATGTGAAATAATGAGATAAAATGTTTTGGGAAACACTGAGCTAAATTGTTTTTAAGTATAAAATCATCGGACCTCACCCTAGAAGGGACCTTACAGATCATCTTGTCATCCAACAACCATCTTAACTTATAGATGAAGAAACTTGAACCACATAAGTTTAAATAACTTGGCCAAGATCACAGAGGTGGGAAAAAGCCAATCTAGGCTTTGAACCCAGCTTTTCTGGTTCTAAGTCCACTACACTATGGCACTTTGAAATAAACATCCTTTTTTTGTTTTGCTGTTGCCGCCATGATGAAAAGTGGAGTTTTTGTCATAAGCATAAAAGGAAGGTAGTATTTAATGGTGGCTGGATCCAAGGAATTAGGTTCTTTTTAACATTTCTGATTTTAATATCATTTTCCTGAGTCTACTTGACTCATTTTGTCTTCTTATAAAGTTATCCTTTGACTTTGTGAGTGGTTACAATGCCAAAGTTCAAGGGGTCTCAAATATGATAATTTAATATAAAGTCATTAGCAGAATTTGCATAACCAATTGATTCACAGTTGTGATTTTTTTTTTACACTTGCCTTAACTTTTTCACTGTACCAATTCATTCTACATTTTAAAGTTATCTGGCAACTTAATTTCATATCTACATATAATTAAAATAGAGTAGGCCTAAAATACTACTTGTTCCTACTGTAGGTAGCATTCTTCATTAGGAACAGTGACCAATTCATGCTACTTAATGAAGTACTACACTCAAATTAAGCCCATATAGGTCTTGGTTACTTCATAGCTTATAGTCTAAGCTAGCCTTGGCATGGATTAACGTAATAAGACAACGATACGTTGGTAACTCCAAAAATAACACTTAGGATGCTAAGCATTATTGAAGGTTTCTTGTGGTAAAGAGTACTGGGAGTGACTGGTAGAGTGTGAGATGGGGAAAAACATCCTTTATCAACACAGTTTTTACTTTGAGGGAGCACCGATGAAGGATTGATAGTGGAAAGTGGGTAGAGATTTGGTGTCAGATGGTATTTATATAGTAACATAAGATTTGCAAAGCCCTTTAAATATATGTGATCTCATTTCATCCTCACAACAACCCCATGAATTACGTGAACTTTATTAGCCCCATTTTGCAGATGAAGAAACTGGGGCATGGAGAGGTTCAGTGAATTGTTCAGGGCCCCACAGCTAGTGTGTGAAGTAGAATTGAAACTCAGGTCTTCCTGACTCCCAAGTCTCATACTCTATCCACTGTACCACCTGGCTGCCTGGGTTTAAATCCCAAGCTCTACCATTTAATAAATGTGTGACCGTAAGCAAGTTAGTTAACCTCTCTGGGCTCAGTTTCCTCATCTGAAAATGAAGGGAGGATTGGACTAAATGATCTCCAGGGTTCCTCCCAGCTGCAGATCTTTGATCCTATTTTTCTATTCATTGGAGCTGTTTGTGATAGAAAAAAAAATATGGGCTTGTATGCAATTTAAAGCACTTGAAAAACCAACTCAATGGCTAATGTCACATAAGAAGGAATTCTTTTTCTGAGAAGGAAGAGAAAGATATAGAAAATTTGGTACAGCTAGATGCAGAGCACTTTAATAAAAACCGTCTTAATGTCTAACCCGTTTTTAAAAGAACTATTTATTTTATTCTGAAATGACATGAAAAGTGTTTCAGTTAACATCTTCATTGCTGGCATAGCGATAGTTCTCAGTAAGAAATTGTTCTTTGACTGTGTTTGAAACAGTTCATTGTAAATTATTCACTTGGGTATATTTCACCATATCCTTCTATTTAAGTATGCAGTTTCTGAGACATAGTTTTTGCACACGCAAGCATGCATGTATTTTGGGTGGTCACACTTAAAAAAACACAGCTGCATTTATTTTATTGATTATACATTCATATGAATGCATGTAGTGTGTTTATTTCAAAGTGTATGCATTTCAATAAAAGCAGGTGCAGAGTGTTAGTGTATGGTGTTAGCATAGAGTACTAAAATACACATGCTAATGCATATGTATATATCTGGAGCTCTGCACAGTTAAATCTCACATCACACATTTGTGTGCACTTACTACAATGTGCAATTCCAACTTAAGTTTTTTTTAAATAGTGTAAAATATGTACATATAAATGCAAAGCTTTATGACATAATCAGACAAAGACACTGTTGTCACAAAAGCAATCAGAAGAGTAAGGAACAATGGTGGTCTGGACATGAATATTTCTGGTTGTTTCTGGATGGTGGGCAAGCATGTATTAAAACAGTTCCCAAAAAATTAAAAATTAATAATATCACATGGAGGGGAGTGGAGAGGTACCTGGTGGGTGTGCACAGGCCACAACCAATGAGAAGTTTCAAAGAAGTATGTTCTAAAATATGCCATCAAGGACATGTTTGGTAGGAAAAGAAGACAGGTTGGTCATATGGCAAGGATGAAGGATGGCAGATAGAGTACTCCATTGGTACTCTCAATTAGGAGAAAGGAAGGAAGGACTCTAGAACATGAGGTTGGCCCACTGTAAGGAGCATATGGAAGGGTTGAGACAAGGATCACACTAAGAATGGGCAGGCATGGACAGACTGTAGTGTGCAACATTGCACAGGACTCCCAAACTGATGACATTGATCTCAGAGCCATTTGAGTATTTGCCCTGGGAATTTCATATTAACTACATTTGCATGCCTCATAATACATCAACATGAGCCTCATAGGACCTTCACAATCATAGGAACACCCCTCCTCCCCCCATTACTCAAGATTGTTCTACAAATATAATTCATTTGTGGTAAAGTTTATTTTTAATAATTTCTTAAGTTTTGAGATGCTTTATGTTCTTACGTGAATTACTCTTGAAGAGACTAAATCTCCACAAGGGCCAGTTATTTGTGCCCGTTTCATGAGGCTTTCGTATAGGCCAAAATACATTTTTTTAATTTTCTAAAGCTTCTAAATAAACACTTCCCAGCTTTGATATATTCCTAGAAAGTTGCTACTTAAGCATAGAGCATCCAGCTTTTATATGTCACATGTATCGTACATGTATGACATATCTATGTAGCAGTGGGATTTTCAAATAAAACCCAGAGTTTACTCGGATCCCATCCTCAGGCCTTTTCCTTTTTTTTTCTTTTCCTTTTGTCTTTGGCACACTTTATTTTCCAGTAAAATGAAGAATGAAGATGGATTATTCAAAACTGATAACAGTAATGGACCATCATGCAATGTTTTATTGAATTTGAGTTCTGTAAATTATCTGGTGGAGAGAAATTTGCCTGCTTAAGTATAACAGAAATTGCCACTATGTTCGTATAATTCTTTGCAGTGTAATTTAAGAAAAAGCACTATCCATATCACTATTGAATCAAAGGTAAAAAGGTGCTATTACACCACCATGACAGCTCTCCCTTTGCTACTAAACGACATAGATGAATGTGGCTGCTTATAACTTACTTGGCAAAGGTCCAGGTGAGTGGGTGGAGTTAGAAAATCTTTCACCTGGACATGTGATTTAAAATTCACTGCAAATGGGGCATTCAGAGGTGTTTTACATATTTGGGGGAGGTTTTGTCAAATCATATTTTCTTTGTACATGCTTTGAAGTTCCATGAAGCTGATAAAAATCTATCTGAATCAGTGATTATGTTCAAAGAGGAGACAAAGTGGAGGCCAGACAGGCTATGTTTTTGTTCAAATTGGCAGACACTTTCATTTATCTGCTCTTTTAAAGAATTCATAATTAGCTTTGGAAAGTACTGATAATATTTATTGAACATTTTTTTACAATTAGCAATGAACTATGCTTGTGACGACTTGCAAACTCTTCTTTGGGAATATAAAAATAAACAGGCTCAGGAATCTCTTTGTAAATTCATTTTTTTCTTTGGAAAAAGTTTAGAACTTTCACTGTCCAACTATGAACCTAAATTACAAAATAATTTGAAATTTCTCTGTGATAAAATCAGCTTAAAAATCTATAGACTAACACTTGAAAAACCTCCATGCAAGGGGAAAGGCCTTTCATAATTCAGGCTTCTTTAATTTCACCTTCTACACCTTCAATAATGATGATGATTAATAATAAATAGCAGCTAGCATTTATAGAGCACCTACTGTATGCTAGGCACTATGCTAAGCACTTTATAAATATTATCTCATTTGATTCTCATCACAACCCTGGTAGGTAGGTGCTATTATTATCCTCATTTTACAGATGAGGAAACGGAGGCAAACAGAAGTTGTGACTTGCCCACGATCATACAGCTAGTGAGTATCTAAAGCCAAATTTGGACTCAGGTTTCCCTGACTCCAGGCCCAGTGCTCTACTCACTAGGCTAGGCCACCACCTCACTGCCTAGGCCTACCAATGCAGGCTGCAGTCTGTCTGTGCCTGCCCATCCTTCGTGTGATCCTTGTCTGCCCCCTCCCATATGTTCCTCACAGTGGGTCCCCCTAATGTTCTAGAGGCCTTCCTTCCTTTCTCCTGATTTAGAGTACTAATGGACTGTCCATCTGTCATCCTTCATCCTTGCCATGTGACCATTTGAGCTGTTTCATGCTAGTCCTCACACAACAGACAGAATCTATCACTGGACCCATACTTAAAGTGAACCTCTGCCCTCAAGGAGCTTACATTCATTTTAATGAGGGGAAATATACATTCACACTTATACGTATATACACATACATACGTATGCACATATACCTACATATCAGGACACACACAAGAACTATATATTAGTCGAAAAGTAGTCTTAGGGGAGTAGGCCCTAGCAACCAGGAGGACCAGGAAGAGACATGAGCTGAATATGAATACTAAAGGAATGGAGGAATTCTAAGGGTCTGAGGTTGCAAGGGAAAGCATTCCAGGCATGGGAAAAACAGCTAGTGCACAGGCTTAGAGCTTATTCTCTGCCAGCAAGTCTTTTAAGAACTCAGGGTTATTTCTGTATTAGAATGAAGCATCACAATAGGGCTTTAAAGAAGGGAAATGGATAAAACTGGTAGTAAATGTGCTCTTCCAAACTAGCTAAGTTTTTCTGTATTTTTAGTTTTTATTTTTGCCCTTTTAAAAACATTTGGGTTGATTTCAGTATATATATATATATATATATTTTTTTTAATGATGGGAAAAAAGTGTGTGTGTGTGTGTGCGTGTGCGTGTGTGTAACTGGTGATGTAGATACCATGTAAGAACCTTGCCCTTGATGAATAATAGCAATGTGCCTTTTAAGGTCTCAAATGTAACATATGAGATTCTGGTCTACTGCCATAATAGACTAGAATCTTGTAGCATCTACATTTTAACTTTTGTGAGATGTGAGGTTTTGATGACTGGCCACCCAAGCACACATACCACTAATGTGACCATGACTTCAGCATGATGTTATGGACAAGTTTCCTTTCCCCCAAACTGGACAAAGTAATAAGGGTGTTAAATATGTTCAATAAGTTTGTATCCAGACATTTCAGCACCTCATATAATAAGTGCCAGACTCTGGGACTGTGCTATGGCACTATTGACTTGAGAAGCAGAAATCATTGGAAGGCAGGCTCATCTCGGGCCCTTCTCCAAGGAGATTTTGTTATTGAATGACCATTGCGCATTTTGAAGTAACCCCTTAGATATACTAATCGCAAGTCACCATGTATTCCCAACTGTAAGGGAGAACTAAAACAGTGGCCGTACATACAAAAACACCTTGTTTATTCAAGTGTTTTCATGTAGTTAGATCCTGACACCTATATTCTGAGAGAATTTTTCCGAAGTGGTCTAATAATGTTTTTAACATAGTCATAAACTGTGGTCAAAACGTTTTGTAGCTATTTTTCCCATGCGTTGTCCACCAGGGGGCACTCCCCCCATTGAAAGCAATGGGTAAACTGGTTTCAAAATATCTGGTATTATCTACACTGGCCTATCTACAATTACTTTAGTGCTTGTGGCAATGATTCAGTTCTCCCCAAGATTTTTTAAGGCAAAAATTAAGCACTTGAACCATTAGGATAATTATGTTGAATGAAAATATTTTTTTTTCTTCAAAATATTCAAGTATGGCTAGTAACTGATAGGAGAGACCTGCAATAAAACTTACTTATACCATCTCCTCAAACTTTGACACAGCTTTTTTTACTCAATAAGCCATGTTGCCTCATTTCTTAATCCAAACAAGGACTTTTTTCATCTTAGATGCAGGAAGGAACGAAACATAGAACCTCTCCCCAACCTTGCTCTTTTCTTTACATTTTCTCTATTACAATTTTGTGATGCCTTAAGTCTATTCTTGCTCTGAATGTACGTAAGAAAAGCAGTCTCATTTTTTTTAAAGTCCAGTATCAGGCTTTCCAAATATAATTGCCTAGAAGATATTTATTTGATTCCTTTCAAACCACTCTGTCCCATAGCCTGCTCCTTTGGGTCATGTCTACCACACTATAATCTCCCCAAGACTTTCATAAGGTTTCAATGAAGTATTACTTTGAATTTTCTATCCATCAGTATTAGAGTTGACTAGTCACCGTTTTTACACTGTTTTTGGATACTCTGCATACACTTCATTTAATAAGAATATAATATAGATGATGGACGTTTAATATGTGTGCCTGTCATACATGGAGCCATTTTACAGCCTCTCTTGCTCTATTGCCTGCTTTCTTTTAATGATATCTATGAAATCATCCATATGTATTTGGGCAAAATGAAACATGGACAGAAAGAGGGAAATGTTTCCCTAATCTTCATTTTCATTTTTTAAGAAATCTCTTAGACTATGTCACTATGACACCACCTGCTAAATCAATTCAGTCACAAATTCTGTCGAACCACCCAGTTGACATCATACGGATAAACAATCTGGATGACTGATGACATTTTTTGGTTGAATTTTAATTGAATTGACTGCAGGCTTTGTCATTTTGTAGAGGAACGAGCTTTGCCTAATACAAGTACCTCAAAGCTCTGTTTTCATATTTCAATCTAATTTGTGCACTTCTCTTGAAGTTACAACTGAGTCATAGTTGGTGGTCATTATCTCTATTCTCATGACATAGTTTGTGCAATAAAGACGCAAAATATGAACATGTTTACGTAGAAGCTATCCCTTATTAATTATATGCAACCTTCTTACCTTGAATTTTGAAGAAAGTGTTGTCTTCATCAAGTTTGCACCCAGCTATTTTGACAGTGATCTACGTTAGCAGATTTTTTAAAAAAAGAAATTTGCAGATAAGCTTTTAAAATGCCATAACATTTAAAGACTACGTCCTTTTTACCAAACTGTCCCGTGCTTTAGACTCTTGTTCCCCACCCCCAATGGTATTTTTACGAAGGTTTTGGAAAGGGGAATCCTAAGTGTTGATGGCCACTTGCAGACTGTGCCCACCTCATCTATTAAATCTCTGATCTCTGGTTCCATTTTGTTGGCAAAGAAACAAATTCAGCTCTGGTGATCCTGACGTTATTTCACACAAAGGGATGGAGATAGAGAAAGGGGAGGAAGCTCAGTCCTTGAAAAATAGAAATTTCAAAAAAATTAACTGAAACATTTAGAAGGAAATCTTCACTTTCTTAAAAGCATTCTTCAAAAAGTATAAAAGAATTTGTCATAAAGTAGTAATGACCTCCTTGATGGGGGAATCAATCATAAAAGCTCTCTTTTGCCATGATAATTTTCTCATATTGCTGATGACCATTCTTAGCTTAGAAATTGCTAATATGATTTACTTGAGGTGCTAGTAATCTAGGAAATGCAGATATTCTATACAACATCTTAAATTCTATTTTCATAAAAGGACAAATGTTCTTTTCATTAACATTCTACTGTGGATTCTTGTAATGTGGAAAAGCAGTTATGTATTTCAAATTACATCTGCGTCTTCTGAAGTTCAAAATTTCAGCATTACACATATTAGATTACTGGTATAGCAGGATAGTATTTGAAAGTATTTGGAGTATGGCAGTGTAATTCTCCAGTATAAAATTGAAAGGCCAATTGGTGTCACTTATTTTTAAATAATTTGAGCTGGTTATATTCTAATGTGCAGTATTTTTAATGCTTCTAAAGTGGTGCCTTGGGAGTGTTTTTTTTTTATTTGTTTAATCAAATTTCTGAAGCATTTTCCTTTAAAGTCCGTCTTTCCTTTCTCAAGATGGCTTTTTTTTTTCTTTCCATATTGAACTGCCGATTTTTCTGCAGCTTTGGTCTAGCCAGCATGAGAACTATGCAATCTAATGTTGCTGAGCTGAGGATTTCACTTCATCTTCACTTCTCTCAATTGTCTTACTGTGAAAGATTTCATGGCAAGTTAAGCCACTAAAAGGAAGGAGACCAATTAGGCAGATTCAGTTTATGTTGTATGTAAAGCAGATGCTTAATAAAATTAAGAATACAATTGAGGCTCTCTTCTACACCACCTAAATTGTCACTAATATATTCTTATGCAGAATTAATGCCTCTGACTGTTCATTTTCTAAACGTAGTGGAATAGAAAAAGCAATGCTTAGGGATCGCTTGGCACAGTGTGCTTTCCCCAGGACCCAGGCACAAGCTCACGCCTTCGTCTTCATTCCCCTGCAGGGCTTGCTCTCAGAAATCCTCCGAAAGGAAGAGGACCCCAAGACTGCCTCGCAGTCTTTGCTGGTTAACCTCCGGGCTATGCAGAACTTCTTGCAGCTGCCGGAAGCTGAAAGGGATCGAATTTACCAGGATGAAAGGGAAAGGAGTTTGAATGCAGCCTCCGCTATGGGTCCAGCACCTCTGATAAGCACACCCCCCAGCCGTCCTCCCCAGGTAAAGGAGCATCCCCGCTCACGCGTAGGAGCATTGCATTTCATTGGGCTCGTCCCTTTCCTTTACACAGAAGGGTTTCCACCCCAAAATTTTCTTCCTTGAGTACCTTGTAATTTGGAACTGGCCTCAAATAACGAATCTGGTGTGGGATTTAGATGGGGAAATAAAACCTGAATTTAAATCCTGGCTTTGCCTTTTACCATTCTTATGACCTTGGACAAGTCATGGACCTTCCATAGGAGCTCTTAGGAATCCCTGTGGCCCACAGGTGTGTGGATAAATTTCTGGCAGTTCATGAACTTGGTTAGGAAAAGAAAGATACATCTTTATTTTCACTAACCTCTAACTGAAATCGAGCATTTCCTTCCATTGTGAATTTTTTAAAGAATTTTATTCTGAGAAAGGTATAGAAGCTTCATCTGCCTGCCAAAGGGGTCCGTGACATTAAAAAGGTTAAGAAGCCCCAAACTACAATATCCACCTCTAAATCCTATGTAGATTAAAAAAAAATTGTAGTTTGCTGTTCTATGCAAAAATATAGTCAGTCATCAGATATTTCTCTTATTACTGTTAAGGGAAGACTTTTTAAATAAAAGAAAAAAATAGTTTAAAAGGTAAATTTTTCCCTCCAGTTCAGGTCCAGAGTTTTGTGGTTTGTAGTAAGAGAAAATAATTCTATTTGTATTTGTGCTTTCCAATATACACTGCAGCTGGTCCCAATTACAAATCATCTCATTTGTAATCTTTCATAATTAAGTTTCATACAGTCCTTGAAAGCTGCTTTAAAAGGGGACCTATAAAGAATTTTGTCCATTTCCCCAGAAATAGGTATATTGTGTATTTCAGTATAAATTTTTCACCCAAGGAAAAAAAGATGAATTTTCACTTCTTTCTGTTCTTGTCCCTATGTTAAAAACAAAACAAAGCAAAACTTATGGCCTTAGCTTCTAGTCTGAGATCTTTCAATAGCCTTTCATTGCTAGACATGATTAGCATATGGAGTATGGCTATACTGTAATGAAAGTGATTGGGGTTTGTTGTATATGTATTTTTAAAACAAGTTTACTATAACTTATGCATCTAAATGAGTGTTCTTGTCTTCAAAGTAGTCACCTTGGAAGGATATATATTTATTCTAATGAAGGTAAAATTGGGAAGTAGTACAGAGAAATTTCTTAGGAAAGAAGGTGGACACTATAATATAGTAAAAGAAAAGCCTACTTTTTGCGGACTGTGCTAATCAGTGGTCTATTATTCTTATTCCTAATTGAGTTTAGAATGTAAAATCCATTAGAAACTACTTTTCAAGGTAAAGAGACTATTCATTCCTAGCTGTACTCTGTATAAGATTGCCCTGAAATATTATGGACAATAATATTCTTAATGCATTATAACCAAACAGCACCATAAAGTATAAATGCACTGGGTTAGCATCATTTGGCTGATAATCCCTTTCTAACGTAGGTCCTGTGGGATTCTATACTCCCTGTATTGTCATTTCATTAAAAAAAAAAAATGTTTTGGTGGAACTCTTAGTAACATGAAACTAGCTTTGCCTGTATTCATTTTAAAAGAGTGACTTCCTTCAGGGCTCAGCTCAAGGTCACCATCCTCCATGAATCCTAAGCTGAAGCAAGTGTCAGTCCCCCCAACCCCTGAAAATAGACATTTGTTTTTAACTTGCCTGCATTCTCATGTTGTTTTTCCCCGGTAGAGGATAAGCAACTGAAGACCAAGGACCTCTGAGTTCTTGTCTTCAAGCCTCAGAGCTGGGCTCTCTGCCTGGCCAAAGAAAAGGCCCTTAATAAATGCACGATGCACCTTGTCGCACTAGACAGTGCATCTGTTGTGTGGGGTTAACCCTTTGGAAGCCCGTTGATTCAGTTATTAACCTAAGTTCAGGCACTGGTAATTCATCGTTAAAATAGATACTGCAGTGGGTTATTTGGCACACTGCTTAAGCTACAGTACTCGCAGAAGGAACCCATGTTCCTTCAGAGTAATGACTTGAGTTTGGAGCTGCCTTATTCACACATTCGTCACCTGGCTGGCTTTTTACTTAAGTACAGCTTTTTATTGTTGGATTTTTTAGTGCCTTAGTACTTTTCTGTGTTCTACTATGAAATAAAACAGTCCCTTCCAACAAGATGTATTCGCCAAACTACTGCAGCCTCATTGTTGCAATGTAGCTTATATATTACCCGGTTACTCTTATTGTAAGTTACTATTGGATAGAATCCTTTCATTTTACAAACTGTTGTTCTTTGATAAACTGGGAGAGCCCACAGAGATCATTTCTTTTGTTCTGAATTATTTATATGCCCCATCTATGTTTCCTAAATTAATCAGTTAATCAGGCCACTCAAGCTATGTAGACCTGACCAGTAATGCAAATATTTCAATACAATGTATAAGTAATACAGAACTACCCAGTGATGTTAATTTAAAATTAAAATGGTTTATCAAAGCCAAATACTTATCCATCCAATAGAGTTGTAAGATGATTCTGGTAGTATATGTGTCATTTTGTCTCTCCTGTAACATCCATCCTTAAATTGGCTTCCTACTTCATCTAAGGTTCCTTTATGCAGCAAAAGCGTATATATTTTGTGCCTCCTTTGTGCAGAGCCTGATTCTGGATGCCAGGAGAAATACAATGCATTTATGAAGTGCCTACTATGTGCTAGACACTGTGTTGTGTGCTAAAGATACAACAGTAAGAATGAAACCATCCCTATCCTCCAAAAAGCTATAACTTCTCAGGGAAAACAACATGCAAACCATAAGAAAATGTGAAACATTTCCAAAGGAAGTACAAGCCAAGTTTGGGAGAAGGAGGCAATCTGGGGCGAATCAGGAATAATCTCCTGTAGAAGGTGGCACTGGGGCTTGGGAGGAAACTCAGGATTCTGGGGCAGAGGTGAGGGAGGAGGGCAAGCCAGTCTGGCGAGCATCCTGGGTCAATTTGGGGAGATGGTATTTTATGTGTGAGGAATGGAAAGCGTGGGGTCAGTTGGGCCGAATGTAGAGTGTGTCGAGGGGACAAAAATAGAAGTCGAGAAAGGTAGTTTGCAGCAAGAGCATAAAGGAGGAGCCTGTATTTTATCCCAGAGGCAATAGGGCCCTTTTGGAGAAGGGCTAGGGCTTGTGCATTCAGAACCTCACTTTTTTATTTGTACACGTGATGGGTTGGAAATAGGAGACTTGAACCTATTCCTTCATAGAGTTTACTATCTAGTACCTTACCATAAAACCCAAATACCGATAACTATCAGTAAAAATATTACATGACAAGTACATTATGGAGGGGAGAATAAGTCACTTTGTGTGGTCTAGGGAGAAGAGCGTTGCTGATCATGTGTGGGCTTTAGAGAGTGAGCATGAGAAGGTAGTGATGACATTAAATAAAAAGGATTCCCTTGAGCAGAGGCCTAAAGACAGACAAGTGCCAAGCAAGTTTGGGAAATGAAGTCACCTAACTGGGCTACCCTGTAGAATATCTGGAAGGGAATGGAATATGGAAATAAGCATTTATTAAATGCCTACTGCTTAACGGGCAACATGCCAACTTTACAAATATTGTCTCATTTGATCTTCACAACAACCATGGGAAGTGGGTACTATTATTATCTCCATTTTATAGTTAAAGAAACTGAGGCAGAAGAGGTTAAATGACTTGCCTAGCATCATACAGCTAGTAAGTGTCAGAAGCTGGATTTGAACTCAGGTCCTCCTGACTGCAGGCCCAGTGTTGTTTTCACTATGCTACTATGGAAGAAAGTAAAAATGAAATAGTTTAAGAAACACTTGCTAAGTGCTTTCTAAGTATAATAATGTTGGAGACCCTTGATTAACAGACAAAGAAATTTGAACTGTAGCTCTTGGAGAGCAGAGACTCTTTGGCCTCTTTTTGTATCCCCAGTACTTAGCACAGTGCCTGGCACTTAGTAGATGCTTAAGAAATGTTTATTGACTAATTTAGTAGCTGATAGGGACCATCTAGGTGTGTACCATGGAGCATTATGATACAGCCATGCATAAGAAACCTTTTATCTAGCAGTGATAGGGTAGGTAAATTAGAGAGAGGGTCTAGGGAATGGAGGTAGGAAGACCTATTTAGATCCTTCAGTAGGTTGATATCAGTGGGAAGAAAAAAAAAGTTTGAGTGTAAAAGATGTTAATCAAGGGTGGAATGGGCAAGAATTGGTAGCAACTGGGATTTAAAGAGAGAAGGAAAAATCAAGGACTATTAAATTCTAAGGTTTCCAACCTAGAAGCCACTTATCACAACTTAATGTTAGATAATATTATAGGTTAATAACTATTTCTTGGGTGGATTTAATTCAATACTTCAATTTAAAACTTCTTTTGATTTTTTTTTTAGTGAAGTGGCATTGAAACATGTGTTTTGTATTTTTAAATGCATATCCTAGAGTAATCCAAGAGTACTACCATTAGCAGCAGTTGAAATGTAGCAACTTTTAAAAATTAGTGATAATAAGCCACACAAGAAGTTTTAATATGTTCATGGTACATCACAATAAAAAACTGTGAATCAAAAACGTACCAATCATAATTGGTTTACAGACAAAATTAGTGTGCACCTGGTCAGTCTAATTCTAACTAAACACAAAGGAACAAAATCAAGAGAAAAGCAGCTCAGATGCCCCTAGAGCAGCCTAGACCGGCCTCCAGTCATTCTGCACGCATTCATCACTGTTGAGAAATCTTGATGTTTCTCTTATCAAGTCATATTCCAAATACAATCTCCAAAGCACACTGCTGTAATGATCCCTATTTGGATTGTGGGGTTGAGTATAAATTAATCCCATCTTTATGTGAATCCAGGACAGGGGGTTTTCCTTGGTGCACTCAGATTCGCTAGGGATGCTCTGAGGACAGGCTGTTCTGGGAAGCCTAAGTTAGGATGTGAGTTAAACTAGACTCATAGGAAGAATGTGACCAAATAAAGTGAATTACTTGGTTCACTTACTTCTATC